GGTACATGTGCTCCTATGCCTCAGCATTTCTGTATCCCTTGGGCAAATTCCTAGCAGTGCTATTGCTGGGTCATAGGGGAGTTCTATTGTTAATTTCCTAAGGAACCTCCACACTGTTTTCCAGAGGGGCTGCACCAGTTTACATTCCCGCCAACAGTGTAGGAGGGTGCCTGTTTCTCCACATCCTCGCCAGCATCTAGAGTTCTCTGATTTGTTCATTTTAGCCACTCTGACTGGCGTGAGGTGGTATCTCAGTGTCGTTTTGATTTGTATTTCCCTGATGAGGAGGGATGCTGAGCATCGTTTCATGTGTCTGTTGGCCATCTGGATGTCCTCTTTGGAGAAGTGTCTGTTCATATCTTCTGCCCATTTGTTTACTGGGTTGTTTGTTTTTCGGGTGTGGAGTTTGGTGAGTTCCTTATAGATTCTGGATATCAACCCTTTATCTGATATGTCATTTGCAACTATCTTTTCCCATTCTGTTGGTTGCCTATTAGTTTTGTGGGTTGTTTCCTTTGCCTTGCAGAAGCTTTTAATCTTGATGAGGTCCCAATCGTTTATTTTTGCTCTTGATTCCTTTGCTTTGGGGGATGTGTCAAGTAAGAAGTGGCTGCAGTGGAGGTCAAGGAGGTTGTTTCCTGCTTTCTCCTCTAGAGTTTTGATGGTTTCCTGTCTCACATTCAGGTCCTTTATCCATTTTGAGTTTACTTTTGGGTATGGTGTGAGAAAATGATCTAGTTTCATTCTTCTGCATGTTGCTGTCCAGTTCTTCCAACACCATCTGTTAAAGAGGCTGTTTTTTTTCCATTGGATATTCTTTCCTGCTTTGTCAAAGATTAGTTGGCTGTATACTTTTGGGTCCACTTCTGAGTTCTCAATTCTGTTCCATTGGTAAATGTGTCTGTTTTGTGCCAATACCATACTGTATTGATGATGACAGCTTTGTAGTAGAGGCTAAAGTCTGGGATGGTGATACCTCCCGTTTTGGTTTTATTTTTCAGTATTACTTTGGCTATTCGGGATCTTTTGTGGTTCCATTCAAATTTTAGGATAGTTTGCTCTAGCTTTGAGAAGTATGCTGGTGCAATTTTGATTGGAATTGCATTGAATCCCACTGTCCCTTCTATTGGCAGCTGCTATTTTCTAACAGGCAGTTGCTATTTTCTATGAGGCGAAATTTGTATGTAAGTAATTTGTTCAGATACAAATTTTTTCACATTTTCTCTGTCTTGCTCTTCCTCCCTCCCTCTACCCATCTGTCATGCTCAATATACTATGCTAGGTACTACAGGTGATAGAAGAAGCATACGACTTGATCTTGTCTTCAAGAGCTTAAGGGGAAATATGTGCACATAAAAAAAAAGGTTAAACACCAGAGCAGTTATGATATGTCACAAGTAAATAATATAAGCTCACACATTATAGAAGATTCAGAGATATTTGAGGCTGGAATGATGTGTGTTGAATGAGTCTGAGGGATAGTCTTATACAATGGGGAAAGCATTAAGACAATGAATTGGAAGACGATGTTTTCACATCCACAACTTACTAATTAGTGTATGTAATTTAATAGGGACAGAAAATGACAAAGTAATAACAGGTCTATGATGCAAATCTGACTTTGGGGGAAATTCACACTATATCTATAATTATTTAAAAGCTAATAATAATTGTTATGAATAATATAAGGATAATTATAGCCACTATTTGTTGAGCTTTTACTATGTCCCAGGGACTCTGTTAAGAACTTTTTGTACATTTTTTAATTTAATCTTTGTAACAATCCAAAGAATCAACCATTATTATCCCCATTTCATGGAAGGGGAAACTCTGGGTCAGAGAAATTGTCATTTGGCATGGTCACTCAGCTAGTAAATAACAAAAGCAGGATTCAAACCTAGATCTAACTTCTGAGTCTGTACTCTTATCCAGTGATTTCCAGAACTTTGGCATATCACACAAAATGCAATAGTAAACTCAGAGTCAAATGAAGTGGTTTCATTTAGAAGAAGAAATAGGTATTTAAATAATAAATTATTTTAAAGCAAAGGTGAAATGACAAATGGGAGCTATAGGGGAAACAAAAAAGCCAGTTCATGGAGGACATGTATGCCATGTATGGGAACTTAAACTTGATTCTATGGGTAATCTGGATCCACTGAAAGTTTCAAATATAGAAGCATGATCATTGTCTGGCATGGAGTTTGTCTTAATAAACAAGTGAATAAATGAGATTTAAAAAGATTGATTTGGTGACAGTGTGGACTATGATTAGGAGGGAAGTAAGCCCAAAAGTAGGAAAAATATTATAAGAGTTTGGGAAAAGATGTCAGAGCCTGAACCAGTGGCACACAGGAGCCAGTACTGGCCTGGATAATCAATTATATATATATATATATATCTTCCCAACTTCAGGGATGGTGATCAAGGTGATAGTTTGAAATCAGCCATGGTAGGAGTATCTATATATACCATAGATCTCAACAAACACAAATCAGGGCTTTCTTTTTGGAGACCTGATTTACCAACACCTTACTGGCCTGAAGAAAAGCAGGAGCAACTGGACTGGAGAAGAAGGAATACTTACTAGAGGGGTTAATGAGATAGAATCAGCAACACTTAGCATTAGCTGGTTGATGGGGGAGAAGTTATGTCACCAGTTAGACCCCAAGACCTGACCTTTACTGCTCACCTGCTTGTACCTACTGACCTTTGTCCCACACTTTCCCTTAAGATCTTTCTAGCCTATCTCTTAATTCAGGCAAAAGACCCAAGGGGAAGAAAACTGAAACTACCCCTCAAGCAATAACAACTTCCTGGGCTGAGAGTTCAATCAGCCAGATTAATTTGAGATTAACCCAGCTCACGCCTGCATAGATGGACCATGGAACGACTGACAGTTTACCTTTACCTCATTATAATACTAAAATCTCCATCCGAGGAACACAAATCTCATTTATGTAACATACAATGTATGTATAGGCATGTTTATTTAAGGTGCATGCATGAACTCATGCCCACCTCTACATACAATGACAAGGCTTTTGTATCTAAATACTTATCCTAACCTAAATGAAAGAAACTCATTCACCCTTGGTTAGAGAGCCAAAGCTTTGGAAGTTTATTCTCCATGATCTCCTTATTTGCTGCAAATAAAAGTTTACTTTGTGTGACACTTCCATCTGTTGTAGTTTCTGTGACTCACCAAGGACCAAAGTTATGTTAGTTCAGTTACAGTGTCAATGGGAGAGATTATAAAAAGAGTTATCAAGTTATTAGCTTGGATGATTCAAATGGGATACTGGTTCTTCTTAAGAAGAGAAGGTTTTCAAAATGGGAGAAAGATAGTGAATTTTGTTCAGGAAAAATTGACGTATCTGTGAGACATGATGTTAAAAATGTCCGGAAGACAGTGTTTATGTAGATTTGGGACTAAAATGAGAGGTCTGGGTTCAATATAAAATATGGGAATCATGAAGATATAAGTAATAGTTGAAGTCGTGGGAGTAGATAAACTTTTAAAACAAAATAAAAGAACAGAACCCTGGGAAGGGCTGTGGTAAGTCTTCATGCTTCATAAATGAAACTCAGATAATTTGAGTAAGCAGGTAGAATTATATTTTCTTTGTAAATGTTGCATTTGGAATAAAATTTTGGTGAAATGTATATGACTGTTAAGGACTATTGGTATCTGCTGAAAACAAATAGTATAGATCAGATTTATAACACATTTACAGCAAGATTTATCAAAATGATACTCTAAAACAACAAAAAGATTTTTTAAATATCCAAAAGAAGTTTCGTGGGAACTCAAATAGCTATGTCCTGGTTATAGGGAATGCATTACACTGCTTTCTGGCCTTGCTGAAAACAGCTGACCAGTATCTAGTTAATGTATATTTAGGGGTTGAGTCTTGCCTGTATTCATGAATTCTTCAGACCATGTTATCTATGGAATATCTTATCTCGTTCTCCAACCTGCTTTCTGCATCTGTTTTTTTGTAGTCTTGGAATGCCTTGTTTTTTTGCACACTTTCTATACCTACTGGCACATAGCCAAGGATGTGAACAGATGATCAGGAAAGTTCCTTTCAACCCTAAGAGACTATGTAAAGGGAGTAGTGATAGTTGTTTACATACCAGTTAAAAGTGGGCTTTTCCTTGGTTGCATCAAGGGCCAATGTTTCAAAGCTACAGAAAGGCAGTGGACTCTCAGCTTAATAATGCAGTGGTAAGAATTTTCTAACAAGTATAGCTACCCAAAAGAGGCTGTTTCAGAAGGAAATAATTGGAATGTAAAAACATCTCCTTAGATACCTTTAGTTTAGGTTTTCCCATCTTTTTCATGGCACTGCCCACACAGAGTATGGTTTATACATCGTATCAATCAATATCTCAAGGGGTATTTGTCACACTTTCTCAGGACTTTGGGAGAACTAATCTGGCTAACATCTCATCTGCAATGGGGAAACTGAGTCTTAGAAAAGGAACACTACACTTCCGGATCAAGACTTTAACGTTAATAATGGGAGTAGGTCTCTGCACAACTAATCAGCCAAAGTTTCCTCCCTATAAATTAAGCAAGGTTGGATGTCAGGCTTGAAGACTGGGTCTGGGATAGTTGCAGTGGAAGGGACGAGGGTCTACTTCAGAATTGCTTTAAATGAGGTCCCATGGCCACTGGCATTAGAACTTATTAACCGCGAGGATCACACGGATATACTGAAGCAGGCACTGAGGCAAGTCCAGGAAGTCTGCATTTTTAGATTTGAAAGCACTCCCCACTTCCCCCGCCCCAGCAGTGTTTTGGACACCGAGCTCCTGACGCGGCCTTAACTGAGAGGCTTTGAGGTCGCGCAGCACACGCCAGCCTGACCTCGCGGCAGCGCAGGCGGCACACCTATGCCGCATCCTCGCGGTAAAACTGTTTGTTACGTACTGGCCCTTTCGGTCGTCACAGGCGGACGTCAGCCAGCACTACCCTATCGCGGTGAGGTGGCCACAGTGCCTCCATCAGCCTGCTGGCCCGGCGGAGAAATCGAATGCGGAGGGGAGGGCCGGGGGCAGAAACGGCTCAGGGGCGCCTCCTCGAGGCCAGGGCCCTCCGCAGGCGAGCCCGGCTGCGGTTTCCCTTCTCCGCCCCCGAGCCCTCCTCCTTTGCAGCCCCTCCCACCGGGAAGCCACTACTGCGCCGGCGTGACTTTTGCCTTGCCCTGTTCCCTGCTACCGACCGGATGTTTGCTGATTTCCCATAGTGCTTTGCTAGTGGCGGGCATGAGAGTAATCTGCAGAGGGTTGCCGACGGGTCCTAGTCGTCATTGTTGGAGTTGTTCTGTTGCGCCGCGGGGCTTTAGGAGATTTGGCGCCTGGTTGCTGCCTTGTAAGTTGGTGCAATGGCGCTTTTCCGGGGTGTGTGGAGCGTGCTGAGTGCCCTGGGAAAGTCCGGGGCGGACCTTTGCGCGGGCTGTGGAAGTCGACTGCGCTCTCCCTTCAGGTAGGACCTCTCGCCTGCACTTAAGGAGGTGCACGGCTCAGGCCGTCTGGGGTTGCAGTGTAGACGTTTCTGTACACTTTTCTGTCCCTCCGAGGTGGTCCGGGCCATCATGGACCTTTGAATCAGACCTCGACTTTGCGCAGGGCTGGTGGCTTTGAGACCAGGCCTTACTCCAGTAGTCTTACTTTCCGGGTATAGTCTTACTTTCCGGCCACCTGCCACCTTTCTGCTCCTCCACGCTGCTCCGCGCTGTCCAGCCTCGTTGCGCTCGTTCAGTCCACTGCGCCAGGAGTCTCCCGCCGTCAGTATAGGCGTTGAGGAGACAGGGCCCAGGATCCGAAGTACAGATGCTTTCCTCCACTCTGCCTTCCTAAGAGGCACAGATAGAACTTTGAGACCAGTTTTACAGGTCTTCTTTCTGGTTCAGACAGGGTTTTAAAAGTCACTAACATCGTGTCGCAGATAGCATCTTGATGACATCTTTTTTGGGGATCTGTGTTCATATAAAAGTGAATATTGGCACTTAAATACTTGATATTGGTTATTTTCTTTATACGTAGTTTTGCATATGTACCGAGATGTTTTTCATCCACCGTGAATAGTTATCCAAAGAAGCCTCTGACTTCATACGTTCGATTTTCTAAAGAACAGCTACCCATATTTAAAGCTCAGAACCCAGGTAAGGAGTGTTGGAGCATTTACTGTTTTCTGATGTAGTAAAGAGGCCACTAAGCAGTTTTACTTCAGACTTGATTTGCACTTTAAAAGCATCCAGTGACTACGGAAACATAACCCTTATGTTTGGTGGTTTGTAAAATATGACATATTTTTTACCAGGTAGAAATTCCTTATAGATAATTGAGCTAATGAAAATTATTGCTATTTAACTTATTTTTATTACTATGTATATTTTATTGAGGTATAGTTGACACAGTGTTAACGTTAGTTTCAGGTGTACAACATAATGGTGATTGGACAACTGTATACTTTATACTATGCTGACCACAAGTGTAGGTAGCTACCATCAGTCACCATTCAAGACTATTACAATACCATTGAATTTATCCTCCTGACTTACTCCTTTAATGAAAAGTATTTTAAAAATAGAATGTGGAGTGGGAAACACCCAGGGAAGAAGAGGAAAAAACTGAATTTTGGGGATTAGTTGTGCCATTGGCCTGGAGCACCATTGATGAATCGTTTTATCATTTGCTTAGCTCCTGCTTCAGGGAATTGTTAATGAAGTTACAATGAAATAATAACTTATGTGGATGTGTTCTGTAAACTGTAAAGTTCTATACAAATTGCTAATTTCAAGAGCCTTTTCACTAGAAATTGGTTGAATTCCTGAAAAAAAAAAAAAAAAGATTTCCAGGTAGGATATTTGTTGACTTCCTAGAAAGGCTGTGGCCCTTCATTTGTGGTTATAGTACTGTAAAGATAATAACTAAATTAAGAACAGTCAACTTTATGACTTCTAAAGCCCTTTCACAGAGTACTTGTGAAAACCAAATGAAAATTCCTACATTATAAAGAATTGGTTTAAGAGACATGTTTAAGAAGTACTCACAGGGGCGCCTGGGTGGCTCAGTTGGTTGAGCATCCAACTTCAGCTCAGGTAATGATCTCACGGTTCGTGGTTTGAGCCCCAGGTGGGGCCCTGTGCTGACAGCTCAGAGCCTGGAGCCTGTTTCAGATTCTGTGTCTCCTCTCTCTGCCCTTCCCCCACTTGTGCTGTGTCTCTCTCTGTCTCAAAACTAAATAAACAATTAAAAAATTTTTTTAAAAAAGAAGTACTCACATATTTTAAAATGTGGTAGTTCAAACTAAGTGAGTGGTTTGTTAAAATGTCATTCCAGTTAAGATGAGGAAGGAAATGGGGAATAATGAATTGATTTTAGAATAGCTTGTTGCAAGTAGTGTTTCTGTAACTAAAATACAAGGTGGTGTTACATGAATCAAGACTATATTTTATTTTTTAGTCAAGTTTTATGAACTTAATAATTCCTGAAAGATGGGAAAAAATTTTTGTTTTAAATATGAAGTAAAAAAGCTTGAAGACATTGATTACCCAACTTCTTAAACTAATAATTTTTGGGGGCTATGTGACATATTTCTTTTTTTTTTTTATTTTATTTTTTATTTCTAGGAGAGAGAGAGAGAGACAGCGTGAGCAGGGGAGGGTCAGAGAGAGAGGGAGTCACAGACTGAAACAGGCTCCAGGCTCTGAGCTGGCAGTCAGCACAGAGCCCGACGCGGGGCTCGAACCCATGAACCACGAGATCATGACCTAAGTGAAAGTCGGACGCTTAACCGACTAGGCCGCCCAGGCGCCCCAATGTGACATATTTCTTAATTATTAGGTAACAGGCTTTAACAATACTGGATAAAGTATGAAATTAAAGAAAAACTAAATCATTGTATAAATTATATGTGGTATAGAGGTGTCTGTAATAAAACTTAGAGATAATGCTAGACTTCCTAGAAGTCTTTAGAAATTAATCCTGAGACATAAAATTGTGACTTTTTTTCATTTTATCCCAATCTATAGATGCGAAAAATTCAGAACTAATTAGAAAAATTGCCCAACTATGGAGGGAACTTCCTGATTCAGAGAAAAAAGTAAGCATATTGTTTTTCAGTATTGCTGACCAGTTATTTTGCAGTCCTTTAAGGGACTAGATGATTCAAAAAAATTTTTTTAAAAAATATCTGTTATCTATAAAGGAGCTTCATACTTTCTGATTCATAATGATTAGAAAATGGATGTATGGGAGTGGCAACAGAGGGTTGGCAGCATCTGAAATTGAAGACTACTTATTAGACTCTCACCTTGGTTAGCATGTGTATGAAAAATACATGTTTTTAATCCATGTACATGTGATTCCAGGGCACATTTTTCACTGGAAAAATGATTCAGTCTATCTGAAGTCATGCACTGGTCTTTCCCTGGCAGGTGTGCTATGTTTATCAGCAGTAATTTATTGACTTTATATTTGGGTTTTTTATTCATAGATATATGAAGATGCTTACAGGGCAGACTGGCAGGCATACAAAGAAGAGATAAACAGAATTCAAGAACAGTTAACTCCAAGTCAGATTGTATCTTTGGAAAAAGAAATTCAGCAAAAACGTTTAAAAAAGAAAGCATTAATAAAAAAGAGAGTAAGTATCAATGAAATATTCTTTTACTTTGGCAAAGAACTGAAATTTATGTAACTATGAATATTGGGAGTTTTTCTTATTTTGAAATATGTGGCTAAATGGTAGAATGTCATCAGGAGTACTCCAGTTAAAAAAAAAAAAACAAAAGGGGATAGCTCTTTCCTGCCACTAGAACTACTGTGCGTTGAGTCTGTCTTGGAAACTCTTGTTACTACTTTTGAATGTATCCAAATTTAAGATATGTAGTTAGGACTAGAATGAAAGCTGTAGGAACAGAGTTATGAAAGAGCCAAACCAGGAATGCAAGAGTCTTTGCTTCTATGTCTTGTCTAGGGTAACCTGCTGGCTTGAATTGTTTGATAGGTAATGGTGAGTTTGATTCTGGATGTTGCTAAATAGACTGAATTCATTAACACCTCAGGGAAAAGTGCCTTATCATATCTAGTCAAATAGGAAGTCCTATAGGATGAAATTCTATTTTTCCTCATTAAACACCCCACATGGTTCAAAATTTGTAGTTTCCAGTTTATTAATCCAGCATTATTGCTTGAAAGACTACATTTTTCTATAGGAACAGTATTAGGTATGAGATGGTTAGCTTGCTGGTCCAGTACATATACTGTAGAAAATGGTCATCAGAATTGAAACTATTTCTTTGAAAAAGTAGATTTGAGACTTTAATGTGAAATGCCAACATATGTCTCCCTGACCCTAATGTTGATCAGGCTCTCCTAGCACCAGAGTTCAGGATTCACCCATTTTAAGTCAGTAACCTACATGGTAATCTAGTCTTCTGATCCAGTTACTAAAAGGGAGCTAGAAAAAATAATAGAAATACAATGTCTGCATAGGGATAGTATTTGGATGGGTGAATACTGAAGTTTGTTCTCCCTCTTAGTCTCTCTTCCTTTTTAATGTACCCATTCAATGTAAGAGTGGAGAGGACCAGAAATGAGGATTGGGCAGTAATATGAGATTTCCCTTTCATACATTTCTTTTGTTCCTTTCTCTTTCTCCTCCTAGTATTCCCATTTTATGTTTGTTACACCTATTCTGAGTTGTCCTGTAGTCCTTGGGTAGTCTTCAGTTTTTGGTTTATTTTTTAGCCTTTGATCTCTTTACTTTTGGATTTTTGAGGATTCTATTAGTACATCCTTTAGTCCTGTGATTCTTCAGCCATCTCCAATCTACTAATAAACCCGTCAAAGACCTTTGTTTCCTTTAAAACATTTTTGTGTCTCTCTCTCTCTCTCTCCCCCTCCCTCTCTGTTTTGTTTTGTGTTTTTTTTTTTTTTTTTAAGTAGGCGCCACACCCAGCTTGGAGCCCAATCTCCTGAACTGAGATTAAGAGTTAGATACTTAACTGGAGCACCTGGGTGGCTCACTTGGTTAAGCGTCCGACTTCGGCTCAGGTCATGATCTCACGGTTCGTGGGTTCGAGCCCCGCATCGAGCTCTGTGCTGACAGCTCGGAGCCTAGAGCCTGCTTCAGATTCTGTGTCTCCCTCTCTCTCTGACCCATCCCTGCTCATGCTGTCTCTATCTCTCTCTCAAAAATAAATAAAACATTAAAAAAAAAGAGATACTTAACTGACTGAGCCACCCAGGCACCCCAGTTACAGCATTTTTTATCTCTAATGTTTTTTGTTTTTTGTTTTATTTTTGTTTGTTCTTGGGATTTCCATCTCTGTGTTTTATTTTGCCAATCTGTTCTTACATGAAGTCTAGAGCCCTTGGTATACTAATCTAGTTGTTTTAAATTTCCAGTCTGATAATTTCAACATCCCTCCCAAAGCTGGTTCTGATGCTTGCTTTATTTCTTCAAATTATGTTTTTTGCCTTTTAGTATGCCTTGGAAGTTTTTCCTTGATTGATGGACATAATTTACTGAGTAAAAGGAACTGCTGTAAATAGGCCTTAGCAATGTGGTGGTGAGGTGGGGCAAGAAACACATTCTGTAGTCCTGTAATTAGGTCCCGATCTTTTAGTGAGCCTATGCCAGTGGTCTGTGAACTTTATAAGAGTTTCTCAGTTCGCTCCTCCACACTCCCCCTCCCCATTAGGTGTGGGGCAGAATGGCTAGAGTGTGCAGGAGTTGGGTGTTCCCCTTCACACAGGTCAGTTAGGCTCTGGTTAACTAGTTTCCCTTGAAGACAGGCCTTGTTAATAGTTAAGTGCTCAGGTGTTTCATAATAGTTTCTTTTCCTCTCCCCCTCACAGAAGCAGGGGAAATATTTTTCCTGGTATTAATTATGGAAATCTGGTCTAGCTCCTAGAGGTAAATCATAATGTGAGAATTCTCTTTTTCTTTTTCTTTTCCAATTTAAATTTGTTTATTTATTTTGAGAGACCAAGAGAGTAGGGGAGAGGCAGAGAGAGAGCAGGAGAGAGAGAATCCCATACTGTCGTCGTGGAGCCCAATGCCGGGCTCACTAACCATGAGATCATGACCTGTGTTGAAATCAAGTCAGATCCTTAACCAGCTGAGCCACCCAGGTGCCCTGTGAGGACACTCTTGTGACTGGCTTCCCCTGAAGCCAGAACATCCAGTACTTCATTAATTACAGTAGAGGTTTTGGTACCAGCACTGGTTCCAGGAGGTGCTGCTTCGACTCCTTGTATTCATCTGTATGTCTCTCCAGTCCAGGGCAGTGTGTTTCCTCTTCACCCTGAGGGATCCAAGAAGGGTTGTTGATTTTTCAGTCTGTTCAGCTTTACACTTATTGTTAGGAAGAATGATAAATTCCAAGCTCTAGAAATAAAAGGGGAAATAGTTATGAAGTACCTGCAGTCTACAGTAGTTTTATAGTGGTTCTGTGACTAAGAAGTTTAGGAAGAATGAGGTAAATTACAGGGGCTTTCCTTTCACTTATGAATAAAAATTGGGTTGGGGGGTGCCTGGGTGGCTTAGTCGGTTAAGCTTCCGACTTTCGCTTAGGTCATGATCTCGAGGTTCGTGGGTTCGAGCCCCGCGTCGGGCTCTGTGCTGACTGCCAGCTCAGAGCCTGGAGCCTGTTTCAGTCTGTGACTCCCTCTCTCTCTGGCCCTCCCCTCTCACGCTGTCTCTCTCTCTCTCCTAGAAATAAATAAAAAAATATATTAAAAAAATTGTGTTGGTTATTGAATTTAACCAAATTGCCATTAAAAGCCACATAATTTATAAACTACAAGTACTGCTATCCAAATTGAGAAACAAAATAGAATCATGCAGTATACCTTATTCTCTGAAACTCAGAAACTAAGCTGATTAAAAACATTTTTTGAAGTTTTTCATTTATGTTAGAGAGAGTGTGAGCGGGGGAGGGGAAGAATGAGAGAGGGAGACACAGAATCTGAAGCCATCTCTAGGCTCTGAGCTGTCAGCATAGAGTCTGAACTCAAGAGCTGTGAGATCACGACTGGGCCAAAGTCAGACACATAACTGACTGAGCCACCCAGGCGCCCCTTGAAACTAAACTGATTTAAACAGCAAGGGTTATATGTATGCTTTACTATTTCTTGCCTCCTCTGCCCTTTGGTACTTAGTTAAAAAAGAATTGAATTTAACACATCTGTTGAAATTTAAAAGTTGACATCAGGGAAGGAAATGAAAGGAGAGATTATTAACAGCTACTCCAGTGTTTGTGAGCTGTGGTAGAGGCATATAGTGACTGGGAGACGGTAGTTCCTGGAAGGGTGACACTGAAATTATTTTAACCTTTAAAACAGATTTTGTACATAGGTGCTCAGTTATTCACTTCATGGAGATCATGAAAATAATATGTGAAGGAAAAGTTTTTATATGGAAAATAACTCATAAAACCTTTTATAATTTTCAAAATTTAGTGCTATCACAAAAATAATTTTGATCCCAAGAGTGAATAGTCACTTTGTATATACAAAGAATCATAACGTTTATGTCTAGGAGCTTCCTGTACATAAAGTTAGGTCTTACAGAAGTTAGAACTATATCTAACTGTTCCGTTTTTTACTCAGGAGTTAACAATGCTTGGAAAACCGAAAAGACCTCGCTCAGCTTACAACATTTTTATAGCTGAAAGGTTCCAGGAATATAAGGATGGTACATCACAGGTAAAACAGAACAAGATTCATTTTTAAAATTTTTGTTTTGATTTTTGAAATATTTAGACAGAAAATTGTAGGAGTGGCATATGTTAGGGAGGTAAAGAAAGGTACAGTAAATTATTATAAATAAGTACTTTATACAAATGAGGCCCTCATATCTTTTAAACGAAAACCCTTTTTCTTCCCACATACAATTAATTTGAGTACTTAGCAGCCAATATATATATTGTCAGCTTTCTAAAATTTAAAATAATAATATTTTCAAATTTATAGGGGTGTTGAAGTTCTGGAGACTTTTATCAGGCAATCCTGGGACTGTTTACAATCACTGGGAAAGAATGAGGGGGATTATAATACTTTATACTGGGATTTGAGTATAACCTTGCTTCATATTATATCCTTTAATAAAATTTTGGTTATGCTCATGAGACTGTATTATACACACGAGGATCATCATATGAGTATGTCAGAGGAAAAAAGAAGCTTGCCATTCCTGCTGTGGCTTATTCTTTCCTTTATTTCCTTCTTAGAAGCTCCAAATTGGCAATTGTATTTTTCCTTTTATAACATGATATGGTAAGAAAGCATATGTTCAGATCTCTGACTCTTGCCAATCTGACTTGAAGTTTTTTGCCACTCTGCCACATTTTGGGTTATTTGGATCTGTAGTTCATTTCATAAGTCCTGTTTAACATTTGATTAAATAATGTTTATTTGTGACATGTCTTCCCTGGCTGTGTAGTTTCATTTATTTAGTCCTTGGGATTTTAAAATTCAGTTTCTATGGCCTTACATTACTAAAATATATGTTTATTTTTTTAGTTGGAATTTGCTCAGTCACTAAATGACATTGGATTTAGTTTTCTTATCAGTATGAGAAGGTTATATGCTAGAGAATGCTCCTAAATTCAGTGGTTCTTATTTCAACTTCATCTTGGAATCACCTAGAAAGCTTAATGGCTCAGCGACCCTATTCCAGGAAATTAAAATTAATGTAACTATAATTTTTATTCATTTAGAAAATATTGGATATATATCCTTATAGTTAAAATAATCAAAATAAGACTTGTTATGAAAGATAATAGTTTTCAGAGCCCTGTCATATAAGTGAATACCTTCTACTATTAGCTCATTCTTGTGCTGTTTATTTTCATATCTCTGAAAACATCCTTATATTGTTACTTTTTGATTTTTTTTTTTTAATTTTCAGCATTACCTATATTTTAGGCATTATCTTCCATTATGTAAGATGAACATTTATTACTTTCTCATCCCACTGTTCCAGTATACTTACCATAATTTTGGCTAGGGAAGTATTGAGTATGTTACTATGATTATGTGCCATTTGCTATGATTATTTTTTCTTTATTGCAAAACTTACTTTCACTGAAGTTCAGTATGTCTTATGCTTTTGTTTTCTTAGTTTTTTATGTATTAGTAATTTAGCCCCAAACTCTTAAAAATTCACGAGGTTTCAATGCATTTAGATGCATTAGCTGTTCTGTCAGTTTCAATTAGGAACCTGTTTTGTTCCACTCTGGTTGTATCCTTTTATTGCTAGTGTGCAGCTGACATTCATCTTTGTGGTGCTTTTGTTTCACCTGTTGTCTTTCTTGGTTTACTGATTCTTTGCAGCATCTCTCCAGTGAGAGTACATGGAAGATCAATTTTTTGAATTTTTGCATGTCTGAAAATAATCTCTAACCTTATATTGTTTGATAGTTTGGGCATAGAATTCTAGGGCAGAGATTATGTTCTTTCAGAACTTTAAAAATACTGCTTCTTTCTCTTGGTACTGCTTTTGAGAAGGTATAAAGCTGTTTTGATTGTTGGCCCTTTGAATGTGATCTGGTTTCTTTTTTCTTCTCCTTCCCTTCTTTTTTCCCCCCTCTGTTCTCTTTAAGAACTGTTACTTGTTTCTGTGTCTTCTGAGCTGGTCCTCTCATTCTTACGTTTTCTGTATTTTTCTCTTAACCTTTTTTGCTTCTCTTTCTGGGTTTCTGTATACATACCTTTTTACTTAATCTCCTTGTTTTTGGTATGGTACCACTAGCCCCAGCTGTAGCTGGTATCTACAGAATAGCTCTGTTCTACCCTTTTGAGGGGATGAATCCTAGAATCTGCCCATGGTGGGAATTTAATCTATTTTTTAAGAGAATTTCAGTCAGTCCTCTTGTTTTAAGCCCAGCTTTCACCACTGTTTTCTACCTATCTGATGCTGCCAATTCCTGAGCTACTTGGGAATTCTGCATTGTAAATCAATTAGCTTTATGGCTTTCCCCAATGCCAGCTTGGGAATCCATCTTCTTGGTTAGGTAAGTCAGTTACCATTTCCCCACCTGCCTTTTAGCTGCTAAAATTTTGTGTTGATCTTGCCCTTTCCTCTTGTCTTTGTCCATGTGGGTTTATGCCTAAAAAATGTTACTTATTCATTTACTTTTAAAAAACAAATAACAGAGATTTATCGTTCGCAGTTCTGGAGGCCGGGAAGTCCAAGATCAAAGCACCATCATGGTTGCCTGCTAGCTTGGTTCATAGCTGGTGCCATCTCACTGTGTCCTCACATGGTGGAAGGGCTTGTTTAATGGGTTTTAGGAAGGAGCAAAACTAAACATCTTTTCATCTCTTTAATTTCTTTAATGAGTTTTTTAAGGTGAAAGATCAGATTGTTTTATGCATGTAACTTCATAAATTATTGTTGAACTCAGTGAATACAAAATTTTATGGATTAAATATAAGCAAAAAGCTTAGTTATGAAAGATTGAAGCACTTCATTCCAGAGCTAAGAGAGCAATTATTTAGTGAGAATGTCCCTGAATATATTAGATGTGTTTATAAAGGTAAGTTTTAAAATGTTCAAAACATGATGGTTATGTAGTCTCAGATACTATCTGAACCTTTGTTGATAGGAAAAAAATTTAGAGTTCTGGTCAGAACAGTAAAGTTCATTATTCTTACTCTGCTCTTCCTTAAAATCACTGATAAATTCTCCTTAGCTTTAAATAGATACTTTTCAGACCATTTCCCTCCCTCCTTCACACTTGCCTTCTCCTACCCCTCTGTCTCACCCTCTGCCCCTCATCTCCACCCACCCATTTATTGATTGCCTTAGTCTCTGCTTTCTGGGAGCAGTAGCACATACTGTGTGAAGTGTGCTGACTCTCCTCCCCAACTTTCCTCCATCCTTTGGGTTTCCTGCATCCTTTAATTTTATAAATGAAGAATCAAGCCTCAGAGAGGTAATAATGACTTTTTCCAGTCATATAATTAAGTTCAGCCAAGTAGAATTAAGGACCGGTGTTGTATTGTTCCTATGAGTATGCCTAAATACTTTGAAACAAATTTTAGAATAAAACATTAAGATACAGGGAAAAAATTAAACACTTGTCTTTGAAGTTAGTCTGTCATAGGAATATAGATTTATACTTGAATATTAATACTGCTAATCAAAAAAGATACATCTGCACAGCAAAGGAAACCATTAACAGAGAAAAAGCAACCTACTGAATGGGGGGAAAGATTTGATAATCATATATCTAATAAGGAGTTAATATCTAAAATATATAAAGAACTTGTACAACTCAAAAAAAAAAAATCTGATTTAAAACATGGGAGAGGATTTGAGTAAACATTTTTCCAAAGAAGACATACAGATGGCTCACAGGTACATAAAAAGGTTTTCAGCATCAGTAATGATCAGGCAAATGCAAATCGAAGCCACAGTGAGATATCACCTAATACTTGTTAGAATGGCTGTTATCAAAATGACAGCAAAATAACAGGTGTTGGCAAAGATGCTGAGAAAAGGAAATCCTTGTGCATATATTGATGGGAATGTAGATTGCAGCTCACTATAGAAAATGGTATGGAGGTTCCTGAAAAAACTAATAGAATTACTGTATGATCCTGCAGTTCTACTTCTGGGTATTCAGCCACAGGAAACAAAAACACTAACTCAAAAAATATCTGCATCCCCATGTTTCATTGGGCATTATTTATAATAGATCAAGACGTGCAAACTATCCAACTGTCCATTGATGGATGATGGGTAATGGATAAAGAAACTGGTGTGCATGAATTATTCAGCCATCAAAAAGAATGAAAATTTTGCTATTTGCAACAACATAGATGGTCCTTGAGAGCTTTCTGCTAAATGAAACAAGATAGAAACACAAATATCTCTCTCTTATATGTGGAATCTTGAAAACAAGAAAATAACCAAGTTCATAAATACAAAGAATGGACTGGTGGTTGCCAGAGGTTGGGGTTGGGATGCAAAACGGGTAAGAATGGTCAAAGTGTAACAACTTCTAATTTTAAATAAATAAGTCCTCAGGATATAATGTACAACATGGTGACTATAGGGGCACATGGGTAGCTCAGTTGGCTGAGCATCTTACTCTTGATTTTGGCTCAGGTCATGATCCCATGGTTGTGAGGAGATCTCTGCACTGAGCGTGGAGCTTGCTTAAGATTTTTTTCTCCCCTCTTCCCCCTCTCCCACTCATGTGTGTGCATGTACTCTCTCTAAAAAACAACAACAACGTGTTGATTATATTAATAACATATTGCACTTTTTTTTTCTTTTTAAAACTTTTAATATTTTTATTTATTTCTAGGAGAGAGAGAGAGAGAGAGAGAGAGAGACAGCGTGAGCAGGGGACGGTCAGAGAGAGAGGGAGATACAGACTCCGAAATAGGCTCCAGGCTCCGAGCTGGCAGTCAGCACAGAGCCTGACACGGGGCTCGAACCCACAAACCGCGAGATCATGACCTAAGCGAAAGTCGGATGCTTAACCAACTAAGCCACCCAGGCGCCCCAACATATTGCACTTTTGAAAGTTGCCTGGAGTAAATCTTAAAAGCTCTCATCACACACAAAAATTTGTAACTATGTATTGTGACAGGTTAGTTAGTGACAGACTTATGGTGGTGATCATTTCACAGGATATACAAATAATGAATCAAGTTTACTCCTGAAACTATTAAAATGTTATATGTCAATTATATATCAATAAAAAAGGAAAATCTCTTCATCCTATTCATTTTATGTATGTTTTAAGTTTAATAGTTTTTATTTAATTTTTTTTTTTTAATTTTTTTTTTTTTTAATTTCTAGGAGAGAGAGAGACAGCGTGAGCGGGGGGGGGGGGACAGAGAGAGAGAGAGAGAAAGAGAGANCGGGGCTCGAACCCACGAACCGCGAGATCATGACCTAAGCGAAAGTCGGACGCTTAACCAACTAAGCCACCCAGGCGCCCCTAATAGTTTTTATTTAAAAAGAAAGGTAAGGGGCGCCTGGGTGGCTCAGTCAGTTAAATATCAGACTCTGACTCAGGTCATGATCTCACGGCTTGTGGGTTTGAGCCCCGCTTCAGGCCCTGTGCTGACAGTTTGGCCTGCTTCAGATTCTGTGGGTACATTTTTTTTTAATTAATTTTTTTAATTAAAACTTATTTAACGTTAATTTCTTTTTGAGGGAGAGAGAGACAGCATGAGTGGGGGAGGGACAGAGAGAGAGGGAGACACAGAATCCAAAGCAGACTCCAGGCTCCAAGCTGTCAACACAGAGTCAGACGCAGGGCTGGAACTCAGGAACTGCGAGATCATGACCTGAGCCAAAGTCGGAAGCTCAACCAGAAGCTCAACCGACTGAGCCACCCGGGCGCCCCCCTGTGTCTTTATTTCTCTCTGCCCTCCTCTACTCCCCTTCGTCTATCTCTCTCTCAAGAATAAACATTAAAAAATTAAAAAGGAAGATAAAGAATTAATAAGACTGCCTGTGTGATTCTCAATATCAGATTTTATTGTTAGAATCAATAATTTAAAAAGATCTTTCTTTAACCACTGAAGTCCCTGTATCTGGTACTTAAACATATGTGTTTTACAGGTAAAGCTGAAGACTATAAATGAAAGCTGGAAAAATCTCTCTAGTTCTCAAAAGCAAGTAAGTAGTATGGTTTTAGTCTTAAGTGTCTAGTTAGAATGTCTGGAGAGAATATATTAGGGCAAGGCTTTTACTTATGTGAAGACAACTTTATGTCACTAATAACACAATTAAAGTATTTTAAAATTATTTGTATATCATTAGGACCAGTTCAGCTTTTTTTCTTTTGGTAGTTTTTAACTACAAATAAAAAATAATGTCACTCATAACTTAGAGTGTTCACTCTATCCAGTGACAGTCACAGCTTGCTTCAGCTCCTTTCCCACATTCCAAGCCCTGAAATTATAATTATAATTATCTTTATTTCTTAACCTTTTTCTCATCTTTTATCTCAAAAAAAAATTCCTTCTTCAGTCCCCCTTTATGCATGTAGAATAGTAAGGTGATTTCTAGAGTATATGGAAGCATTCCAGAAATTAATTGTAAAGATTCTTCTAAAAGAAATCATTTTAACAATTACACTTTTTCTCAGGTGTATATTCAACTTGCTAATGATGATAAAATTCGTTACTATAATGAAATGAAATCTTGGGAAGAACAGATGCTTGAAGTTGGACGAAATGATCTTCTACGTCGCACAGTAAAGCACCAAACAAAAATTGACACTGAAGAGTATTAAACTAGAAGATTGAGTTATGTTCATAATGGATAGACACAAACCAACTAGGTCTCAATACCTGATGCTGTTGAAAGTTAGAAAGGATAAAATTGGTGAACATTTTATAATTCCTTTTTCTTTAGCCTACGGACTTCTGCCAGTTCAATACATTTTGTATTAGTATCTTGCTTTGGAAAACCCAAACAGATAAAAAGTTCATGTGAAATTTATTTTGTGTTAAGAGAACTACTGAGAATCACAGTAATTCATGAAATGCAGTAGTGAATCATTTTACCTTTGATAAAGGTAAATTAGACTGAAGTTTTTTTATACTTGATGACTGGAAAGAGTATTCTTGTTTCCTTATATGTATCTATGGAGGCAGGAGTTTCATATTCAAAAGTGTCCCAAACTATAGAAGTCATGGTGTTTTATGATACAATTGTGCATTTTAAAAGAGGGGCGCCTGGGTGACTCTGTCGGTTTTGTGTCTACTCTTGGTTTTGGCTCAGGTCATAGTCTTACAGTTCGTGAGTTTGAGCCCCACATCTGGCTCTGCTCTGATGGTATGGAGCCTGCTTGGGATTCTGTTTCTCTCTCTGCCTCCCCCCCACCTGTTCTCTCTGCTCCTCCCCACTCATACTCTCTTTCTCTCAAAATACATAAACAAACTTAAAAGAGCACCCAGAACTCATCTGTGTAAATGCCAGTCCCTAGGTGTAATTCGCATATTCAGCATTGACGGTTGTACATGCAAGGAATTGCTGGTTTCAGTTGTGACTTTTTATGAAAGGGAAAGAGGGATTTATAAACCTTTTCTTCATTGTCTTGTTTCCTAAAGTAAAAAACAAAAAATTATGTACCAAATCTATGCATATTGTTTTATATTGCATAGAATAAAAATTTTAAATGTTTCCTAATTATGTTTTAAGATGAAAGATTCATTTTGCAAAATTTTTCCTGTCTTGTTTTCCTTTTTAAGTGGGGATATGTATTCTGAATTATTTTCTGTTTTTCATGTGAGTATATTTATTCAGGAAGTAGGCAACTTGTCTAGTATAAGTTTTAAAATGAGAGATCTAAAAAACAAAAGTCTCCAGTGTTTTAAGACTTGGAATTTAAACATTTTGCATAACATATAAAGCCCATTTAAGGGATAGCCAATTCTGGCCTGTGGGCCAAATCCAGCCCAATGCCTTTTTTGCCCCGTGACCTGTGGGCTGAGAATTGTGTTGACAGTTTTAAGTGATTAAAAAAAAATTTTCAAAACATGAAAATTAAAAGAGATCTGGTGTCCATAAATGAAGTTTTATTGGAACACAGTTATTCTTTTACTCATGGTTTATGGCTGCATTTGTGGAACAGTGTTGAATAGTCATTTCAGTGACTGTGTAGCCTGCAAAGCCTGCCTAAAATACTCCCTTTACAAAGAAAGTTTGTCAGCCTGTGACCTATAATATAGACTAGTGTGACTAGGGTTCTATGTGTAACTACTAGTGTCCAACGTATAATTGTTAGTAATAGTTGTGTAAAACTCTTTTAGAGGGTCTTGGTTTTAGAATCTTTGACACCATTATCTTAAGAGGAAAGAAATCAACTCACTGAAAAAGCTAAGCAAAGTTGCTCCACAGTGTTAGCAAGGAAAGTACTCTTTAGTTTCAAATTATGTTTCAGTATAATAAGAAATGCCTGTAGGGGCGCCTGGGTGGCTTAGTCGGTTAAGCGTCCGACTTTCGCTTAGGTCATGATCTCGCGGTTCGTGGGTTCAGGCCCCGCGTTGGGCTCTGTGCTGACTGCCAGCTCAGAGCCTGGAGCCTGTTTCAGTCTGTGACTCCCTCTCTCTGACCCTCCCCTGCTCACGCTCTCTCTCTCTCCTAGAAATAAATAAAAAACATTAAAAAAAAAGGAAATGCCCGTATCATATGGGATGAGATTCTTTTAAACTATTTGTTATGGCTTGGTAAAAGCTTCATGAGCTTTCCAGTTAGCACATACCACAAAAATCTTGCCAACTTTTAGCATTTGTTTATCGTCTCCGGGGAGTCAAGCAAAGGTTTTCAAAATATCACTTTTTGATCAAAATCATTCATCTTTCATCATCAGTTCAGAGGAACAGGATAACTCAAAATTTATATGCACTTAGTTTTATGCTAAACATTGAGGAAAATTGTAGCTTCTAAATCTCCAGAAAAACTGACGATTTTTGTTGTTTCTTCACAGATTCAGTAAAAGGTCATGGAAGGATGACTTGTGTATAATAAGCTTGACAAAGGTAGGGACTAAAGAGAAAAATAGAACTTAAGAGGAAGAATAATATATAAAAATACAAAGTTGGGTGTTTTCGAACTTTCCCCTGTGGTTACAAATACATGACAGTGCCATTAGTTAAGTAGATATGGCATGAAAAAAATAGATACACTGTGGTTCTGAGGCCAGAAGGATTTTGGGGAAGAAGAGGAGGTACGCTACTAGTGTCTATCAGTCTTTATCATTAGGGTTTCCAGGAAAGAATTAAGCCCTAATTCCCTCTGGCATCTTAAAAGATACTGATTATGTACCATCTTGAGAATGGAAAAAGTCATCAAATAATTTACCGTGTTCTGTGCTTCAGATGAGCCCAAGGAATACATAGGAATCCATGTTGGTAGTAAATATTGTAGAATGGGTGAAATAGAAAAATGAATTTTGTAAACATCTGCCTGATAAATGTAGTACAAAACATCTTTGCAATTACCTTCTGAGCTCTTTTAGCATTTAACCACCTACGTACGCTATTTTATACAGAACACATTCAGATCATATCTTCCCAAATATATTGGAAACTTCACTGTCTAGTAAGTTCTCAAGTAGTTACACCCTCATATTGGAAAAAGAAGCATGAAACTGGCTAGAGCAGAACCACGTTATGATAATACCATATTTTATTGGGTTTTCTTCATTTCTAAAAGAATGCTACTGTTAGTACTTTAAATATTAGAATATTTGATTCCATACCTTAGTAAATTTCAGTACATGCTGAAGGCTGGAATGCCATATAACAAATGGCATCTAGATTAACAATATACACAGTTTCTGTTACAATTTTTTTTTATTTTTAGAGGAGAGAAGAAGCGGGGGGGGGGGGGCCAGAGAGAGAAGGGGACAGAGGCTCCCAATGAGGCTGTATGGTGACAGCAGACAAGTCCCAGGAGGGACTCAAGGTCACAAATGGTGAGATCATGACCTGAATTGAAGTTGGACTCTTAACCAACTGAGCAAGCCAGGTGTCCCACAGAGTTACTGTTATAAAGAATAAGATCCTAACTGGTCAATAACTAGTGGCCACTCATAAAAAGCCTTGCTTTTTGGACTTTTTTAAAGTTGCCCCAACAAAGTAATTGCTGTAGGAGGTAACAGAAAATGCTAGAGGGAAAGATGCTGAAGAAATGAAAGCAAGTACTGTTTATGCTGTTCTAAGCAGTTAGTCATAAAGAGATTTTTGTACTTTTGTTTGTTGGGGTACCAATATTAGGTTTCTGAAATACTTTGATGACAGGAGAAGGAGCTGTGTGATTATTTTACTTTCTAACATTTATTTACTGAAAGGATATTGTGTGCATATTCAGCCTACTGTAACTGTGTATTTTGCTATTGTTTTTGGCTAACTCCTTTTTTGGAAATGCCATTTTACAAGATAAGGCATATGTTTTTATAATGGCTCTAAATGTATATATTTTATTTGTGAATTAAAAGGGTATTACTTTAAGTAGATTTAAAGTAACTAGAAAATTTTTACTGATTTTTTTCCTGACATTTGCTGTACCTAAAAATCACCACCAGGTTATGCTAAAACAGCAGGAAGTTTTTATATAATTAACTGATGGTATCCATTATTACTCTTAATTTTATCAATATTCACATTAAGAATATTCTCTTCCTTTTTTTTTTTTGATGTGCATTTTTATTTTTTTTTATTTTTTTTTTACAAATAGTTTATTGTCAAATTAGTTTCCACATAACACCCAGTGCTCTTCCCCACGACTGCCCTCCTCCATGCCCATCCCCTCTCCCCCCACATCCATCAGTCCTCAGTTTTTGTCAGCATTCAAGAGTCTCTCATGGTTTGCCTCTCTCCCTTTCCCCCACCATTTCCCCCCTTCTTCTCCCCCTTGTTCCTCCGTCAGGTTCCTCCTAATCCTCCTATACGTGCAAA